TCTCATGAAAACAATAAATAATATCCATATGTAATCAGCAGTCTCATCTCTTTCAAATCAAAGGACTAAACAAAGATCCAACGGCGACAAAGGTGTCTATGGTACAGCACCTTATACGTTTATAGGCATCTCTATTTGAAAATAACTAAATGCGTCGTCATAATACTATGCACTAGCTGCTTGATCTCCTCCAAGCAACACGTATGCCCTAGGCAGCAATTATAATAAGTATGGTGAGTGACACGAGCGAGAGGGTAATGCCAAAAGAACGACCTAGCTAGCTAAAAGCAATGCAATGCAAAGCTTCTCTCTCAGCTGCTGGCGAGTGGCGACCATCTTCATCTTCTTCTGATCTTCTGTCCAACAGCTACCTAGCGAGTAGCGATGTGTAGTACTACTGGAGTACCCACACCACCCTGCACTGCTCCGGCACAGATATCCATGCATATGCATATATAATGATGAGAGAGAGAGAGCTCTGGCCGTCCTCTCCTCTGGCTATAGGGCAGGAAGAGAGAGAGAGAGTGTGTGTGGCCTGTGCGGGGAGAAGCAAGAGAGGCAGGCAGCGGTCCAGGTCGTCCAGGCAGTGGTGGCCTCTGCAGCCTGAGCCTGACCCACACACGTACGAGAGAGAATATTTGAAGGGGGAGGAGCTGAGCCTGCGCTCCGTTGGTTTGAGCTGGTTTAGCCTATAAATCATGGTTGAAAGTACTATTAACTAATTTGGTGTAAGAAAAAAATATTATTTGTTGATTAATAAATCATGACTTATAAACCAGATACGAACAAGCGAACATGCTGCTGTGCGGTCATGTGTCTATGTGTGCGAGTGCGAGACAGTAAGACTGGAGATAGAGCTAAAGAGCGGCAGCCTTTAAACTCTCTCTCCTCGCAGTCTCTCTTAGCTTTCTCCCTTCCTTCAGCTGCGTGCAGCTCCCATAGTTACTACTAGCTTATATTGCTCCTCCGATCCTCCACCAGTGCTCTGGCTCGCCTCCCTCCTCGTCTTCTTCCTCGCTCATCTTGCTTAGCTTGTCCTCCATCCATCCATCGATCTCTTCCTGTGCCGGGCGAGGTCAAGGAGAAATATAGAGCGAGGGATCAGAGGCTAGCTCGATCTTAGTTTGGCCGGCGGCGGCCAGCCAAGGGCGAAGCATGGCTTTCCTTGTGGAACGGTGCGGCGAGATGGTGGTGTCGATGGAGAGCTCGCACGCGAAACCGGTGCCGGCGCCGTTCCTGACCAAGACGTACCAGCTGGTGGACGACCCCTGCACCGACCACATCGTGTCGTGGGGCGAAGACGACACCACCTTCGTCGTGTGGCGCCCGCCCGAGTTCGCCCGCGACCTCCTCCCTAACTACTTCAAGCACAACAACTTCTCCAGCTTCGTCAGGCAGCTCAACACCTATGTATGTATGCGGTGCTAGCTAGCTCGATCTACTTTTCCTTCGGTGGCATGCAATGCAATATGCATGCATGGTTTCAATTCCTTGATGTGTTGTTTCTCTTGGGCCGCGTTTAGTTGCACCCGGAATTGGCGTCGCCGGATTTCCAGCGACACTGTAGCGCACTGTAGCATTTCGTTTGTATTTGGTAATAATTGTCCAATCGTTGATTAATTAGGCTCAAAACGTTCGTCTCGCAAAGTACAACCAAACTGTGCAATTAGTTTTTGATTTCATAGTACTCCATGCATATATCGCAAGTTTAATGTGACGAGGAATCTTCTTTTTACATAGTGTCAAAATTTAGAGTTGAGGTGAACTAAACATGGCCTTGGATTTTATTTTGCATTGCATTGCGTGTCTCATCTCTAGCTCGGTTTGCTGCTCTTGTTTCCTGGCTACCTAGAACGTGACAAGCTAGTAGCAAGCAAAAGTTTTCTTTTTTCTTGGATACTGATCTCTTCGTTCGCCGGATTTATTTGGTTACACTGTGTGCTGAATATACGGCAGCAGGCATTGGTGTGACCTGCCAACGACTAGCTAGCCAATCAGTTGCATTCATGCTCCCCTCCCTGTGACAAGCAGATATGCTGCTGCATGCATTTAATTTGTGGTTTGCATTTGGGTTCAGCTCCACTCACTGTTCTTTGGCTTTCTGGTTCTTGTTGACTTGTTGAAAGGGACTTCATTCGACCACTTGCTAGCTTCCAGTCAAGCTTAGATTTACAAGACCGTTTTTTCAGAGGCTTACCCTTTCAAAATAGTCAAAAGAAAATTTTTTGTTTCATTTTGTGCCAAGATAGATACTGTTTGGGTACTAGTCCTATACTGCCTGCTTCTTTTTTTGCCAGGCTACGATCTTTTGTCAAACCATTGACTTGGTGCCAGTATCTTTTATTTCTCTTTTCTCAATCTTAATTGAAAGGCAGGCCCCTTCCATCTCTTTCAAAAAAAAAACCTTTTTATTTCTCCATTAGCCAACTCTTGCCTAATAATGTTTTATTGGTATATTTATGAATCATAGAAAACACTAAGGTTTCATGTGCATCGTACACATGGGATGAATCATCCTTTGTGCGCTAGTCTCACTCCCAATCATTGGGAAAAGATTGGCACAACGGAGAGAAATATATATATACCCTATGGTATTCTGTGCCAAGCAGTATATACCCTTATACAGTAGTACAAGATACCATGCATTACCACCACACATGACATGACATGACATGACTAGCAGCTGAGCTGACTACACATCAGTACAGTACTACACACATGCACACAGAAGCACTGATCTGATGAGCATCCATCGTGATGTACCAGACGTCGTCTCTCTCTCTCTCTGCATTGCTAGCTTGATGCAGCATGTGCATGCATGGTAGCTGCAATTGCAATGTGCTGTTGTGCAACAGTGTCGTCGTCGATCTCTCATGGATTTTCCTTATTATCTTGTGCTAGCTAATAACACAACTCACTGCAAGAAGAAAATGCTGAAAGTTTTCTTTGGTTTAATTTGCTGTTTTTGCTGTTGCAGGGCTTTAGGAAGATAGTGGCAGATAGGTGGGAGTTCGCCAACGAGTTCTTCAGGAAGGGCGCCAAGCACCTCCTCGCCGAGATCTACCGGAGGAAGTCGTCGACGCCGCTGCCACCGCACCAGCCCTACCACCATCACCATCACCATCTCCACCACCACCACCACCTCAACCCATTCTCCCCGCCGCCGACACAGCCGGTGTCGTACCACCACTTCCAAGAAGAGCCCGCCGCCACCGCGCACGGTGTTCACGCCGGCGCCAGCGGCGGCGGCAACAATGAAGGCAGTGGAGGCGGCAGGGACTTCCTGGCGGCGCTGTCGGAGGACAACCGGCAGCTGCGGCGGCGCAACTCGCTGCTGCTGTCGGAGCTGGCGCACATGAAGAAGCTCTACAACGACATCATCTACTTCCTGCAGAACCACGTGGCCCCGGTGACGAGCCCCTCGTCGGTGGCGCACGCGTCCCTGCCGCCCAGCGCCGGCGGCGCCGCGTCCTCCTGCAGGCTGATGGAGCTGGACCCGGCGGACTCCCCCTCCCCGCGGCGGCGGCCGGAGGACGACGGCACGGTGAAGCTGTTCGGCGTGGCCCTGCAGGGCAAGAAGAAGAAGCGAGCGCACCAGGAGGATGGAGACGACAACCATGAGCAGGGAAGCAGCGACGTCTAGCCGCCGCTGGCCCGCCGGCCGGCCGGCCGGCTTGCATTGCTCTCGTCCGTGTACATATAGAGATCAGATCAGAGAGTAGTAGTTTCGATCGCTAGCTCGTTAGCTAGGCTTTGGTAATTTCTTGAGTGCGTACTGAAATTAATGTGCAAGAGCTAAGTGTTGATCTGTCTGAGAGAAACTAACAAGAGTGCATGTATGCATGGATGGATTTTAGTCAGCTAATCTAGCTGCACTGCAGAGGCTTTGCACCACCTTCTCAAATCAAATCTCAACAAGTTCTTCAATTCCTGGCCGTGCATGGGAATATGGAATGGAGTGTGCATTGCTCTCTAGCTTGGTGATCGATCGACATCGAAGCACTCTAGCTGACTGCTAATAATAAGTTGCTAAATGCATGCTAAGCAGGCCAAACAAAGCCCCCAAGGCTTATTATTAGTTTTCATGGGCTGATGGAAATCTTCTCTGAAAGAAAGGACAAAATTGATTGATAAAAACCTATCGAAGGTGCTTTTGGGATCAACTTATATCACCTCTGTATATGCAATGAGATTCAAGTGCCAGTATATATATATCCATGCATGATGCATCTCTCCAGCTACAGTGACGAATGCTCTAAGGGAGCCTGCAAAGGCCATAGGGTTCACTGAACTTGCAGTAACGTGTACATTGCTAGTCACAAGCACTACCTGCTACTAAACATCCTATAGCTTATGGGTTATACACACTATATATAGCACATTGTCTTTGACACGAATTTCTATATTGCTGAATAACTTCTCTACATCACTAAGCCCCAACAAAGCAAAAATATTACCATAAAGCATTCTCATATAAAGTATTTTTTCTTAAAGAAGAATCAACGCAAGATGTTCAACATTCTATCTTTTTCTAGGAATGACAGAGCTAGTATAACTGATATGATGCTGTTAACACAAGTACAATAAAGCAACAGGAGCAGGAAGCTATGTGTCTCATCGGTTGATAGCTTTGCTCCAACGGCAGTTACATGCTATACATACACAACTGTTTGGTCCACAGATGTTAACAAACAGTCTCCCACCACCCAGTAATCTTTTTCAAAACAAATGAAGAAAAACAAACCAATTGAACACCGTAACTGAACAAAAGAACATGGTGTGTAAAAGAGCAGTCATATCTGAAGCCAATCAATTCAAGCTTAGACTTCAGACAACATTCGCTTTCGCTGTTCCCCTTCTGTCATGCCATAGTTAATGCATCCATCTCAAGCTATCATATCATCTCATAAATGGTAAGTACTTGGTCATCTTTGTGAAACCTTTAAGATCAGTGATACAGTTGGAACTAAACTGTATCTAGGAACACAAAACAGCTGCCGTCAGTCATCTGTATAAACTGGTTCCTGCCAGTCTTTGGTATTCTTCTTTGGATCATCACAGAGAGCAAGATCTTTATCGAACTCTTTCATTGTCTTCACAAACGTCCTCGCGCCTTGCATAATCAACCTTTCCACCATGAACAACTGATAGTTGTTCTCGATTACCGGATTCAATATGCTGCTGAAGTTAGATGAATATGCTAGCCTGTACCTGCATGCACAACATGCCACCATAAGAGACACTGTTGGTCCACAGGATCACCGGCTCAGACGAGTGAACCATTCACCAGTCTTGCCGAACACCCACTAACCGTGCCGACCACGAACAAGTGTTGTCCGTCCCCCACACACTATGGCTAGAGCTAGAAGAAGAGGAAGAACAGAGCATACACACACAGTACAAGACATCAGCGTTGGCCGAAGCCCTGTATGGGAGATGGCAAATATAAACTCTCTTTACTCAGTTGTCGTGGTAGTCTATTTATACAACTCTATCCATTTAGTCCTAGTACAGCTGCCCTGCTGCAACAGTGACTAGATAACATTCAGGGCTGACTCTACGCCGACCTCTGCATGTGGCTACAGTGCTGTATGTGAGTCTTTTCGGCGCCGTCTTCCCTTGCTGTGTTCACACAAGGAAAGCAGTAGATTAGTCTAACAATTCTTTCCCTAATCCTGCTGCTATCCCTTGTACCCCCTCCATGCCGATCATCTCCTGCAGCTCCGTGAGTCGAAAACGTCCGAGCGGCTTGGTAAGGACGTCCGCGAGTTGCCGACCAGTTTCAACGAACTCGATGACGATCTGCCCTCCATCGACACAGTCCCTGAGGAAGTGGAACTTTACGTCGATGTGTTTGCTCCGGTCGTGCAGAACCGGATTCTTCGCGAGGGCGATGGCAGGCTGGTTGTCCACCATCAGTGTTGGTGGGTGAGCTTCCATGCCGGTCAGCTCGCCCAGCAGCCGGCGTAGCTACACAACTTGTCACGCCGCTGTGGCCGCCGCTACGTACTCTGCCTCGCACGTAGACAACGCCACCATCTTCTGTTTCAGCGACAACCATGAAATTGGAGCCGACCCGAGGAAGACGAGCACGCCAGAGGTGCTCCGTCGTCCGTTGATGTCCCTCGCCATGTCTGCATCGCTGAACACAGTGAGCTGCAGCCTACTCCCGCCGGTCTTGGGAAAGATGATCCCCTGATCTACCGTCCCTTTGACGTAGCGCAGTAGCCGCTTCACCGCAGCCCAGTGATCCTCTCTGGAATCCTCCATGAAGCGACTGACATAGCCCACGACGAATGCAATGTCCGGCCTCGTGTGGACTAGGTAGCGCAGACCACCGATGATGCTCCGGTAGAGTGTTGCATCCACCTTCGCCGCGGTGCTATCATTCGTCAGCTTCAGCCGCTCCTCCATTGGAGTCACGCATGGCTTGCACCCAGCCACGTCGCTCCTCTCCAACAGCTTGAAGGCATACGTACTCTGACCGAGCGTGAGTTCCTCCTTCCCCTGTCTCACCTCGATGCCGAGATAGTAGGAGAGTGCGCCAAGATCGCTCATTCGAAAACGAGCCGTCATCTCGCGCTTGAAGCTGTTGATATCCTCCGTGCGCGCACCGGTGACGATTAAGTCATCCACATACACGCCGACGACGAGCTCCTTCCACCGTCGCTGCGTGTAGAGCGCATGCTCGGTTGTGCACCTCTGAAACCCAAGCTCGCCCAGCGTGGCGCCAAGCTTGGCGTTCCATGCTCGTGGGGCCTGTCGTAGCCCATAGAGCGCCTTGCGCAGTCGGAGCACCCTGTGCTCCTCTCCCTTTACGGCGAAACCTAGAGGTTGCCTGACGAAGACCGTCTCCGTGAGCTCGCCGTTGAGGAAGGCCGATTTAACGTCCAAGTGATGGACGCGCCAGTCCTTTGCTGCTGCCAAGGCTAGTAGCAAACGGACCGACTCCATGCGCGCTACTGGCGCAAAGACCTCCTTGAAGTCTATGCCCTCACGTTGTACAAAGCCTCGGGCGACGAGGCATGCCTTGTGCTTGACAATAGCGCCGAGCTCGTCCCGCTTGACTTTGTACACCCACTTCAGACTGATCGGACGGCATCCTGGAGGTGGATCGACGAGCTGCCAAGTCTCATTTTCCTCGATCGTCTTCATCTCCTCCAGCATCGCCCGTCGCTAGTTTCCATCGCGCTCGGCTAGCGCGAACGTGGGTGGTTCCTCAGCACTGACGAGTAGCAAGTCTGGGTCATTGAGCAGCCTACCCGCCAAGCCTGAGGGACCTGTGCCGCCGACGATGTCGTTCAGCCTGCGAAACCACACCTCCTCACCTTCGTGGTAGGCGTCCACGAACTCAATGATGTCACTTGGAGGTGAGGCGAACTCAATCAGCGTTGAAGGAGTTCCCTGTTCCACCAGAGTGCTCGGCAGAGCACCTGAAGTGCTCGGCACCCCGGATGTAGTGCTCGGCACTACTTCTGGACTTCTCGTCATAACTCCTGCAGTGCTCAGCCTCAGTCTTGGAGTGGTCGCCACCACTGCCAGACGTCTTGGCTCCGCCATGGGAGTACTCGGCACCCGTCTTGGAGTGGTCGCTGCCACTGCAGAACCTCCCGGCACCACTCCTGACGTGCTCGGTATCCCTCCAGGAGTGCTCGGCATCCCTCCCGAAGTGTTTCGGCAGATCGCCCAGAGTGCTCGGCTCTCATTGAGTGCTCGGCACCCCTCCCGAGTGCTCGGCAGACTGTTCCCAGCGTCTCCACCACGTGGATGACCAGTGCTCGACGACGAAGGTCTTTGGTGAAGCCTTGACTTCCCCGTCTTTGGGACTACTCTAGTCCCAAGCCACCTTCTCGTCGAACACGACGTCGCACGAGACAAGCACCTTGTCTCCGCATGGGTCGTAGAGTTGATACGCCTTGGTACCCTCCGCGTAGCCCAGGAACACCATGGGTGTGCTCCTGTTCTCCAGCTTGGCGAGGTTCGACTTCGTCTTCCTGACGTGACCAATGCAGCCGAATGTCCGGAGGAAGGACACTCTCGGCTTGTGCCCATACCAAGCTTCGAACGGCGTCATGCCCGTCAGGGCCTTGGTCGGAGCGCTGTTGAGGATGAACATAGCCGTGGTCATCGCCTCCCCCTAGAACCTTGCCGACATGCCTTTTGCCTTCATCATGGATCGGGCCATGCCGACCACCGTCTGGTTCCGCCTCTCCACCACGCCATTCTGTTGTGGCGAGTACATCGCGGTGTGGTGTTGCCCCACACCCTGATCCGCGCAGTACGCAGCGAACTCCACCGAAGTGAATTCGCCGCCACGATCAGTCCTCAGCACGCGGAGCTTCTTGTTGCTCTCGGCCTCCACGCGCATCTTGAACTTCTTGATCGCCGCCGCTGCTTCGTCCTTGCTCGTCAGGAGTTGCAGCCACATGTAGCGACTGCAATCATCCACGAGCAGGAGAAAGTACCGCCGACCACCGTTTGCAGGTGTGATCGGCCCGCAGAGGTCGTCGTGGACGAGCTCGAGAGCGTCCTTCGCGTGATACTTGACCGCCTTTGGAAATGGTAGCCTCCTCTGCTTCCCGGCCAGGCAGCTGTCACACAACTCGCCTCCGTGCTTGATATGGGGTAGCCCTCGGACCATCTTCTCCAGCCGACCAAGCGCGTCGAAGCTAAGATATCTGAACCGGGCATGCCACATCCACAGTTCCTCAGAGTGCCTTGCCGCTAGGCACACCGGCTGCTCTACCTTCAGGTCGAGCAGGTACAACCAATTTAGGGACCTCTTCACCTTAGCAAGAAGTCGGTGCTCCCGGTCCCTGATCCTAAGGACTCCGTCCTTGATCAGTACCTCGCTACTGTGCTCATCCAACTGACCAATGCTGATGATGCTGGAACGCAGCTACGGGATGTAATATACATCCGTTAGCGCGCGGTGCTCCCCGTTCTGGCACTTGAAGATGATGGTGCCGCTCTCTTGGATAGCCATCCTTGAGCCGCCACCAAACTTCACCGTACCGGTAACATCGTCGTCGAGCTCGGACAAGGATTTCTTGGAGCCCGTCATGTGGTTGCTGGCACCTGAGTCCAGATACCACCACTGCTCCTGGTCGACGTCCACACGTCCGAGGTGGACTTAGGCGCGTGGTTCGTCGAGGTTGACAGTCTTCAGGGCCTTCCCAGGTCCTTCCACCGTCGTCACCTCTTCCTTCTCCTCGGCCTCGATGTCGTGCAGTGCACAGAACGTCGCCATCAGGATAGTGGCCTCATCCTCATCATCAGCTTGCGCCAGATGAGCCTCAGCCTTCTTCTCCTACTTACGATTTGGGCACTCCCATGCCCAATGGCCCACCTTCCCGCAGCGCCGACAGGCGTTGAGATCGACCTGCTTCTTCTCTGAAGAAGCCTTATCGCGGCGCTTGCCATCGCCACCGCGACTGGAGGAGGTTGTCTTCCCGGAGTTCCTCCGAGCAGCCCACTCCTCTTCCGTCGACAGCAGTTTGCCGCTGTCCTTCGTTGCTGTCGCCTGCTCCAGGCGCTCGTCTCTATGGAGAGAGCGATCTGGATGTACTTTGCCGGCACGGAGTGAAGGTACTTGGAGACCGCCTCCTCTTCATCGACGGTGACGTCATGGCTCTTCAGCTTGCTGATGAGCGTCTGCAGGCGGAGGAAGAAGTCCTCCACCGTTTCACCATCTTTGAACTTGGGGTTAGCGTACTCCTGCTTCAGAAGCTGGGCCGTCGCCTTCTTTGCACAGTCGAAACCGACGCGCATCGTCGCAATAGCCTTCCACGCCTCCTTAGCCGAGCTCTTCGCCCACAACGACTCCATGTACTCCGCCGGTACAGTAGCGAGGATAGCCTCCAACGCTGACATGTCATCTTCTTTATTTTCGGTACCCTTGTCAACAACATTCCATAGCCGTCGGGCTCTGAGCTTGACCTTCATGGTCACCGACCACTCTCCATAGTTGGTGCGAGTCAGCGTCGGTCAACTGGTGCCGCTGACCTCCCGCACCGTGCGAACAACGACCTCCGGCCGTGGCTGGACAGCCACAGCAGTGCCACTGCTGTCGCCCATCTCCGAACCGCCCGTCATTGCCAGTGGTTAGTCTAACGACGGCGCTTGTACGGCTCCAATACGACTTGTTGGCCCACAGGATCACCGGCTCAGGTGAGTGAATCACTCACCAGTCTTGCCGAGCATCCACTAGCCGTGTCGACCACGAACAAATGTTGTCCGTCCCCACACTATGGCTAGAGCTAGAAGAAGAGAGAGAACAGAGCATACACACACAGTACAAGACACCAGTGTTGGCCGAAGCCCTGTATGGGAGATGGCAAATCTGAACTCTCTTTACTGAGTTACCGTGGTAGTCTATTTATACAACTCTATCTATCTAGTCCCAGTACAGCTGCCCTGCTGCAACAGTAACTAGATAACATACAGGGCTGACTCTACGCTGGCCTCTGCATGTGGCTACAGTGCTGCAGGTGAGCCGTGTGGCGCCTGCACCTGCAGCGGCTACAGTATCACAGCAGGAGGCCTTTTCGACGCCGCCTTCCCTTACTGTGTTCACACAAGGAAAACAGTAGATTATTCTAACAGACACAAACAATGTACTGTCATAACTTGTCTCAAGAGAGCACATGCAAATATAATGCTGCACTGCTAACTGCTATGCAAATATTACTTTTATATTAGCAGTCCATGGTGATAGTTACCTGCGAAAGATGAAACCATCCATCACTCATGGAACATTTTAAACATTCGAAATATATTACTTAGGTAATCATTCAGGAATACAGTTCCTGAAATAATAGAAATCATTAAGCATCGGTCAAGCAGGGATACATATGAGAACCAAAGCATAGTTTGGTACAGCATCTAGTTGAGAGGCAGCTCTCCCAGGTTCAAACCAGGATGCTCACAAGTCACAAGTTGTGTCCAAAGGGTCTGGTATTTCCAGGGGTGGAGCTAGAGAAATATGGAGGGGGGTGCGGCCGTCTAGGCTTCCGTCATAGCAATTATAGTGTAACTTCATACTGCTACGACCAATATTTTAGCATCAATAATTAAACACAAGCAATAATGATAGTATATACTAACAATGAAATAGCAGCAATAGTGGTTACCGTTTACCAAAATATAGTTAGTGAATAACACAATTATATATACAAAAGATTGTTGTGGCATTGACAAAATGCAATCGTCAATCCTCAAACCATTCAATTTTAAGCAAAGAGACAATTGAATGATCAATTGAAAAATAAAAATCACATATGCCATGTAGAGGCAAAATTGGTGGCTAGGATCTCTCAAATCTACAAAGCTAGACGGTCTTCCTAGAATTTTTGGGATCAATATATGCATCTTCCATTTCTAATATTGCAATCTTCCTGTATGGTGCTTTCTTTTGGAAAATATTTTCATGCTTTTCCTAAAATCCACAAAAGACATTTATATTTTAGTTGATTCGGTTGTCCATTACCAGATATTTGAGAGAGAATAAAAAAAGTCAGAGCCTAGAATCTGGGCAAACTACCAAGAAGGCAAGAACTATAAAATTGAAACCAATTTGGATGTTCCGATTGATGGAAATTGAAAAAAAAAAGTAAAGAAGCTTTGAAGTTGCTTACTCTGCCTTGTGATCAAGATTGAACGGAAAATAGAGCAGGGTAGCGGGCAAACTGCAATCCTGGAGTCCTGGTGCCTGTGCCCCTGAGTGCAGGCGGCTAGCCGCCTGGCCAGCACGCAGTAGTGTTGCGGCCATCGGCTGTCCCACCGCCTGCCACCGGACTTGGCCACATCGCGTCGAGGTGAGAGAATGGGCGCAGGGAACTGCGAAGGGGAGAGAAGGGGTGCGGCCGCGCGGGAGGGGAGGCAACGCGTGAGTAGAAGCACCGGCCAACAATTCCATCTCCCGTGCGAAGTGTAATTGATCTTTGGGCTGTTGTAGGCTCTCTCTATTGGCTGAGTTGGGCGGTGGGTGCAGACGTTTGGATCGGAGGGGTGCGAATACGGTACAAATATGTATACTACAACGTATTTCACAGTTTGGTGTGGGTGCGGCCGCACCCAGTCGGACCTATATGGATCCGCCCGTGGGTATTTCCATCTCTTAAGACAGCCAGGGGGCGTAATCTCCCTATGGTTTTTTTTGCAGGAATACATATATCCAAGGTGTGGTATCTCACAAATTTTCATTGATGTCTGGGATAAAGGTGCAAGAAGAGTAGGTACATGCATGGTGCCAGTATTGTTAAATAATTTACTGCTCTTCTATATACGGCGCGGCAGGAGCAGGCACCGAAAGGGCTCTCCTGCTGCTGTACTGTAGCCGCTGCAGGGGCAGGCACCGAAAGGCTCACCTGCCGCACTGTAGCAACAGCAGGGGCAGGCGTCAAAGGCAGTCCTGTTGTCACATCTAGTCATTGTAGCAGCATGGCAGCCTGACATGTTTGTGCACTAGGATTAGATGGGTAGAGTTGTATATATAGCTTTCAACTGCAACTCAGTAAAGAGAGCGAGTTCAGTTTTGCCATCTCCTCTACAGAGCTCCGACCAACGCTGATGCTTGTGCTGTGTGTGCGCGCGCTCTGTTCTTCCTCCCTTTTTCTATCTTTAGCCATAGTCTGTGGTCGACAACGCTGGTGAGCGATTGGCTCACCCGTGTGGAAGATCCAGAGGCCAACAAGTATTACTTGTCTGACAGAAATGAAAAGAAGCCAGGTGCAAAAAGAGTAGGTACACGGTGTCAGTCTTACTTGTCTGATAGAGATGAAAAGAAGCCTGGGGTCCTTTCATTTGAGGCAATGAAAAGAGTGCGACCTGGTCGAATCCACTTTGCAATTCTTTTCTTGATAAACTCAGGGCGAGTATCTCTGTCAAGATGAGGATGAAGACTTCGCTCAACACCAAATCTATCTTTCCTATTCTTTAGTAGGTCACCTCGTCTCACATGAATAGCATCATAGTCACCAAGTATCTCTTTCATCTGAAGAGAGCACACAAATTTATAAGCAGAGAATAGCGTGCTGTATTTAATAAGTAAATATTACTAAACGAATCTTGAATACACAGGAGATATTAAGTTGTCCCTGAACATCCATGCACAGACCTGTATGCACAAGATGTAATAGCATGCCGCGCCCTATTCTAAGAATAAATGTGGCATACATGGCATGTCATGAAAGCATGCGAGATGAGAATATACTGAGCGCGTGTTCAGTTTCAACCTAAAATCCTAAAAAGTGCTATAGTACCTGTCACATCGAATGCTTGCGGTCTGTGTATGGAGTATTAAATGTAGACGAAAAAAAAATTAATTGTACAGTTTGGTGGGAAATTGCGAGGCGAACGTTTTGAGCCTAATTAGTCCATGTTTGAACACTAATTGCCAAATAAAAACGAACGTGCTGCAGTAGCCCCAAATTCCAACTTCATGGAACTAAACACGCCCTGAGGCCTTGTTTAGTTCACGGTTAGGAATCAGTATTTGGCACTGTAGCACTTTCGTTTGTATTTGACAATTATTGTCTAATCATGGTCTAACTAGGCTCAAAAGATTCATCTCGTAATTTACAATCAAACTGTGTAATTAGTTATTTTTTTTATCTACATTTAATACTCCATGCATGTGTCTAAAGATTTGATGTGATGAAGAGAGAGTGAAAAAACTTGCAATCTAAACCAGGCCTGAATGAAGTAATCATTCGCTGCTTGCCAGCAAGTTTAAACAGGCAGACTGGCAGGGGCCAGCTGCTGCACATGACACATAACATGCTACATTCAAATGATATAAATACTACAACAGTGTATAGAATAGCAGAGAGACGTTCATAACAGGATGTGGAAACATGAGTGCTTCTAAGTGGGAATCTGACAAAATGCTACTCTAGTAATGCTACTCTAGTAATTGGGTACATTCAATTACTGATGGTAGTACTTTCTCCATCAGGCACTAGAAGAGATAAATTTCCACACGGGAGCCAGTGATAGGTTAACAGAAAAAATGTCAAGAATAAGATTTTGAGACAAGCAACACAGTGCAGGGAAAATGGTTACTTGCCCGTGGGTTGGTGGTCACTTTCATTTCATTTGTAAGGCCTTGTTTAGTTGTTCCCAATTTTCAACTTTGGTACTACGCAAAAAGAAGATTCTCCATCACATTAAACTTGTGGTACATGCATGGAGTACTAAATGTAGACGAAATCAAAAACTAATTGCACAGTTAGGTTGTACTTTGTGAGACGAACGTTTTGAGCCTAATTAGTCAACGATTGGACAATTATTACCAAATACAAATGAAATGCTACAGTGCGCTGTAGTGCGCACAGTGAATCCGGCGGCGCCGAATTCGGCCAACTAAACAAGGCGTAAAACTAAATGGTAAGTCATGTTGATCCCTGGCTGCCCTGCACAGGTAAACAACTAGCTTACCAGCACAGACACTTACTCACTATGGCTAGAGGTAGAAGAAGAGATTAAGAACAGTGCACACACACACTCAGCACAAGCACCAGCGTTGGCCGAAGCCCTGCCCTTTGGTTTGTGGCAACTGAACTAAGCATTCAATTACCCTTTGGATGTAATATATACAACTCTAGTTGTACCTCTATCAGGTACATAGTTGTTGGCCAACTACCTACTCCTGAGTACAAGAGTACACCAACTACCTACTTCTAAGGTACAGGGTACACCAACTACCTACTCCTAAGATACAGAGTATACCAACTACTCCTAGCAGTACAAAGCTTACCTCAACCCACTACCAAGACATGGTTGATGTAATAGCTACCAACTAATGTACTAGAGGTGGCCTATTGCAATACTGCTATAACTACAAGAACTGATCGGCAGAGCCGATCAGTCCTCAACTCCCAACAGAGAGTGGTCGGCCGGTCGAGCCGACCAGTCTCCAACCAAGAAGAGAATGGGGAGCAGCAGATTATGTCTAACAAGTCAATCTCTTAACAATATACCTTGTTTGCTGCATCCCTCAGTTTCCTTGTTGCCATTGTTGGCAGAAAAATGTATGGCAACATCACAGAGCTACGCTTGGTCCGGTCCTTGCACTCCATAAACCTGAACTGTAATGATGATTAAAGTCTATACCTGAATTTTATGCATTACACGATAGACATGATTAACCGTTCCTATAAAATCAAATGATTTCTTTGAGTGCAGGTGGCATGGTATAGACTCGCAGGGAACAAGTATCCTTATTCCTTACCAAGTAAGAGGACTTGCTGTGCGGTTTATGAGGAGAGCACCAGAGTAATTTGAATTTTGTTTGAGTTCAGCACTGCTAACCCCTTGCACATGCACCACCAAGCCATCCTCACCGAGTTTTGTACTTCTTGATATTATCTCGTACCATGAGCGTGGATTATCCAAAATAACAGGTACAGTTCTTGATATGAGGTCGATGTCATATAAAGATTCCATTGCACAAGAACCTGTCTCCCACCTGCAAAGACATGGAGTTTACGTATTATCAGGATCTTTTCAACTTGGCCAAAAAAAAAAAAAACAGTGTGCACATGTAGGTCAGGTACTCAAGAAGCAACACCTTTGTTGTGAAGTTGCATTGCTTGATTGAAGGAACCCCTTTGTATTGTGCACTGAATTCAGGCACATCTTTGCAGGCATGACAAGCACCCTGCAGAATGGGGCCATTGCACATTAGCATAATTCCACATTGCACACGAATTGGTGAAATAGAGAACTTGAAATGCAACAGAGCCCCTGTTTTCATTCAATCTGCTTTGGTGCTTCCTATCTTCTAACTGCCTACTAGAAGATCGATGCAATTTGGAATTCAATCGACATGACCATCTTTAACCACCGGGCGCCCATTTCTGGACGCCAAGGGCCACCTAGCGACCTCAATCAACGCGGGAGAAGAGAAGGAGGGGCGAAGCGACGACACCAAATTACCTGTCGAGGAAGAGGGCCTCCTCGAGGGCGCAGCGGAGGCTGGACTCCTGGTGCCCGAGGCCCGCGCAGGAGCCGCAGTGCTTGCCGGGGCAGTCGACGCGGCTTCCCCAGTAAAGGTACCTCCGGTTGCCGTCCCTCTTGTCGACGTCGCGGGGCCGGAACCCCAGGAAGGACAGCGTGTCGGTGAAGGACAGGATGCACAGGATGGAGAGAGCGGCCGCGACAGTGATAGCGGCCAGGAGGGCCCTCTTCAGGGGTAGCGGCAGCGGCTGCCTGCGGCCGCCGGTGATCCGGGGATGGATCGCCACGGGAGGTGTGGGAATGTGCTCTGGCTATTTTCGCGAGTGGATACGACGAAGAGGGCGAGGAAGGGATCCAATGTATGGGCCGTATTGGGCCCTGTATCAGCCCAATAATAATTTGGGCAATTTGGACCCATGGCGCTTTCAGCAGCCCGTGTGCAGCAGGTTATTTCAGCTACAAGCTGTCATTTGCTCAAAAAAAAAAAGCTACAAGCTGTCACGCTAAACCGATGAACTGATGGTGAAGCAGGCTCTTTGTTCAAATGAGTTTGATGCAATGGCAGAAGGTGGTTTGGTGGGCGAACCGAAGACCTTGATTTTCTCTACTTTTTTACCGTTCGAATCTGAAGGGGAGAGATTGTAATAGTGTCGCTTGTGCGATTGCAGAGCTGGATTATGAGTGTGTTGTAGGGGAAGAGGTAACCTCTAGCTCTATCCCATGCAACATTCTCGGTCTTCTTGTTGCTGATGCTTCAGCATATGAGTAATGCAAGTTCCCAGTTCAAAAAAAAAAGTATCAAATTTGTGCAAACACAACTTAAAATTTTTTTGTGCAAACACGCGGGTATCTAATTTTTTAATTATAACAATATTTATGCTTGTTTTTCAGTTTTTCGAATAGTTTGTCTTATTATTTGATTGTACATTTTAATATCAATGTTTATTTATTATCGTGAGAAGATTATAATTCTTGGTTATGTTTTTGTTTGAGAGTTTGAGTTATAGTGACAAAAGCGATAAATATTTTTTTAGAAACGTCTAGCGCCCGGACGACCGCGCCGCTCCGTGTCCCGCGCCCACACCATGTCCCACGCATGCACCGTGGCGCGCGCTGCTTCGTGTCCCACGCCCGGACCGTGGCGCCCCCTCCACACCCACACGCATGCAGGCGGGCCCAGTAGCTGTAGTAGGTGGCTGCTGCAGATGGGTCCCACTACAACATGTGCAACACTGTTGTAACATGGCCACCACGGGTGGCGGAGACCCGCGCAGTCCGCAGGATACGAGGGCACCTCCGGCCAGGAGGGCGAAGGCCGCCTCACCTCCAAACTAATTAAACAACGATCTTGCCTAATTATGTGCAGGTACTCAAGCGGGCGCTCAGGGGATCACATGAGCCTTGCCTGCCACTGCCCCATGCGGCAAGTGGAGGCTCATGGATGATGCCTCCGACCGGACGGCGGAGACTCCGCCAGGCGATGGCGCGCCACAGGCGAAGGCTGCCGACACACCATGGCCCCAGGGGCCAAGTGAGACCCATGGAGATGTCTCAACCGGCCGGCAGAGAACCGCCGAGATAGCGTGGCGCCCCTGGAGATGGAGGCCAAGACTGGGAACCCTGTGCCTTTGGGTCAAGACCAAGCATGGTGGGCCGACTGCTCATGGAGGCCCATTACTCGGAGAGACAGTATGACAGGATTGCCCATAAACGAGAGGCTAGCAATGAATATTCCAGGAATATACTGTAGCAGTTGAGGGGCATTGTAATAAATTCTATCATGAAGTAGTTGAGCCCTATAAATAGGGAACACTTGTAACCGTGCAGGGGTGGTTGGAAAATGCATTAATGAAACCCTAGCTTTCGTGCCTTTCCCTTACACGCCCAATGATCATTCTCATAACCGAGCCTCACTTTGAGGATACTAGCCCACAGGCGGAGGCCCCTGCTATCTGTCTCTCAAACCGCAAGTTTCAACATTGGCGCCCACCGTGGTTGGCCAAGGCAAACCAAAGATGGCAGGGAAAAGAAAAACCACCACCAGAGCAGCAGCGACCACGGGTCAGAAAGGAAGGCCTAGGCGCACCACTCGTAGCACCTACGCAACTTCACCAGCGGAGGTCAGTACCAGAGCAGACGCCCAGGGTCAACCACCGGAGCCCCAAGATCCAGAAATCCAAGGTCCAGAGGCCCAACCAAATCCAGGTGCAACACTCGACCAAGAACTACAATAGCTGCAGGCGCAGTTGCAGAGAGCGCAACAAGAGAGAGACAGAATGGCAAAGGCGTTTGCGCCAACCAATCAAGAAGCTACTCAAGCATCAAAGACAAGCAAAAAAAATCGACAAAGAACTTGGCGGTCCTACATGCCGAGAGATCTCGAGTATGCGACATGCGATACCAGCCTCAACCTCCGCAATCCCAGCCTCCGCAGCAACAACAATCATACCACAGGGGCCTCCGCCAGTGATCAACCAGCCCATAATGCCAGCTCAGGTGACGCGGAGGCCTACCGATCCCAAGTCCCCACTTTAGAAGGTATACAACAGTCGCCATGGCCAACAGCGTACAAGCCAATAACACTACCAAAATTCAACGGAAAGACAGACCCCCATCAGTTCATCATGAGTTACGAGGGCAAAGATAGCCTCCACCCGTGAGACGACGCCGTCCTAGCAAAGTCTTTTGTCATTGTCATTCTTGGCGGCGCGCTGGTTTGGTATTCCATGCTCAAACCAAGCACGGTCTATTCTTGGGAAAACCTTTGGGACAAAATATTGGCAAACTTCAAAGGACTAGCCTCACAATCGCTGACATCCATGGATCTGTTCCAGTGCAAGCAAATGCAGGGAGAGACACTACACGACTACTTCCGAAAATTCGTGCAAGTAAAGGCGAAGGCACCAGACGTCCCAGATGAGATCGCCATTGAAGCAACGATCAAAGGCCTTCGAATCGGGCCGTTCGCAGCACACCTAGCAAGAAAGAAACCAACTTCCATACAGCAGTTGTATGACGAGTTCGAGAAATACTGCAGATCAGATAATGACCTCCAGAAAAGGCTGGAGGAGCAGGGTCAAAACAGACAGCAAAGTAGCAGTAAAAACTCCCAGAAGAGCTACCCGAACCAGAACGCATCAAATCAGAAAACAGGCAGAGGCAAGTGCTCAACATCGAGGTTCAACCTCAATCCGAACAAGGGCAATTGGCAACGCCAGCAGGACCAGAGACCCAAACTAGGAACCAAGGTCGGCAAGGCTACCAAGGCAAAAACTGGGACAAAAACAAGCAGAAACAACGCAGGTCATATTGCGTTTTTCACGGCGAAAGCGCAGGGCACAGCTCCAAAGATTGTCCGGAGACAAAAGAGACATAGGAAAGAATGAAGAACAAGCAGACTGCACAGCCTCCGACACAGCAGAGCGCAAGAGAGGTCAACACCACCTACACAACTGGCCACCAGCAGTACTGCCCAATGTATCCAGCGCTAAACACAAACCAAATACATCCCTCCACACTGGCCTCCGCCTATTACCCAAACTTCCTACCAGTATGGCGGCCAACGCCCTCGCAGCAGCATCCGGTGGGCAACTATAGGTCGGAGGCAAGCCTGACCTACATAAACCCAAATCCTCCCCACATAACCTACCTCGAAACAAACCCACCGCCACAAAACCACAGCAGGTTTGAGCCTCCGCCGCAACAGCAACACATTCAACAACTGCCTCCGCCGCCTACTCACAACCAACTCCCAACACCAAAAAACGAGCCAAACCCAGAAAACCAAGTCAACCCCCATGGACCGCTACCAACAATAGGCATGATACTGCCAATTGCCGGAGGATCATCAATGGAGTTTCAAACGAAAAAGCAGAAAAAAGATCACCTCCGCCTGTTAAACAACGTAGCAGTCCAAGGCCCAGCAAAATACACAGATTGGTCCAGAGTCCCAATCACCTTCACGGAAGAAGATCTCCAGCTAGAAAGCTACCCTCACACAGACGCAATGGTAATCAAGACCAACATTGCTGCATGGGAGATAAGCAGAGTTTTAGTTGACACAGGCAGCTCAGCAGACATCATCTTTGCACATACCTTCGACCAAATAAAGCTCAGCAGGAGTCAACTACAGCCCTCCGAATCCCCTTTGATAGGATTCGGAGGAAAGTAGATACAAGCACTGTGAAAGATATCACTCCCTGTGTCGTTTGGAAACCAAGCCAATGCTAGAACCGAGTACATAACCTTCGACGTCGTCGACCTGTACTACCCATACAATGCTATCCTGGGCAGAGGATTCACAACCAGATTCAACGCCGCCCTGCATATGGCCTACTTGTGCATGAAGATACCAGCACTCCATGGCATCATCACAATCAGAGGCAGTCAGAAAGAAGCAAGAAATATAGAAAAAGCAATCTATAGAGCCCAAAGAAACATCAATGCAGTTGAGTCAGCAGACAAAGAACTAGAGCCTCCGGATATGCCCAGAGGAAAAACAGATATGGCAGGTCAAGAAGAAACAAAGGTGACCCCTCTACAAAAGGAGTTGCCAGACAGAAAAGTAACAATTAGCTCAGAATTGAGCAAAGCAGAGGAGGAAGAGCTCATGCAAACTCTGGTAAAAAACAGAGACATCTTTGCCTGATCAGCCTTCGACCTACAAGGAGTCAGCAGGGATATCATACAGCATGAGCTGAATATCGACCAAAACATGAGACCAAGAAAGCAGAAACAGAGGAAAATGTCGGAGGACAGAATCCTAGTAGCAAAGGCGGAGGTGCAGAGATTGCTAGATGCAAAGGTTATCAGGGAAGTCAAGTATTCAGAATGGCTTGCAAACATAGTACTGGTACCAAAGAAGAATAGCAAAATGAGAATGTGCATAGATTTCACAGATCTGAACAAAGCCTGCAAAAAAGACCCTTTCCCATTGCCAAGAATAGACACCTCCGTCGACAAGGCAGCCAGATGCCAGAGGTTCTCTCTCCTCGACTGCTTCTCAGGGTATCACCAATTTTGGATGAAAAAAGAAGACGAAGACAAGACAAGTTTCACCACTCCATTCGGGACATATTGCTACACCAGAATGCCGGAGGGCCTAAAAACGCAGGAGCAACCTTTGCCAGAATGACAAAGGATGTTTTGGGCTCACAATTAGATAGAAACATCATAGCCTACGTCGACGACATAGTGGTCATGAGCAAGAACAAAGATGATCATGTCTCCGACTTGCAGGAGACCTTCGCCAACCTCAGGGCAGCTGGCATCCGCCTCAACCCAGAAAAATGTATATTTGGAGTCACAAAAGGAAAGATGCTTGGATACATCATAAGCAGCGAAGGCATCAAAGTGAACCCAGACAAAACCAGAGCAATAATGACAATGACAGAACCCAAAAACAAGAAAGAAGTGCAA